CATTAATATGTATGAATAAATTCAGCTAAAAATTATTTAGATTGTGGCAAAATGCTGGCCATCAATTTAATCACAGTTAACTAAAAGGCTTTAACTGCAATTTTTTTTTAAGTAACAGTTTATTTACCTTCAAAAACATTTCAGCATTCTAAACATACAAAAACAAACAAACAAACAAACACACAAAAAAACATCAGAATGTTGCAAATCATGTTTTAAGTACAGAGGCTCTTGAGCTCCATTTTTGTTTTTTGGAGAGGTTTTTGTTATAGGGCGTGTGAGCTTGCCAGAAAGAGAGACAGAAAGCAAGAAATCACCCCCCCAGGGGGGATCGCCATGCCGCACACACACATGCCCGGCATGAGTTTAAGCCACCAGGCCCAGGATGTGAACCGCGTTTGACTACATGGGAGTCTAGCGACATAGCCATTATGCTAACTGCTGGTCCCTTGAGCTTCATTGATACAGTGGTTCTTGGCTTTGCTGACAATGAAGAGCTCTACCGTTTATTTAAAACAAAGTTTTAAAACTACTGCACTTAACTAAGGAAACAAAAATCCAAACCCTTCCCATGCCAGCTGACTCCCCTTCTCCACAGCTAAGAATGGCAGCAGAATGCTAGGTCACTATGCACAAAACAAGACACCCTGATGCTTACATGGAGGCCACCGCAGAGGCAACGGGTCCAGCTTCAGTGCATGCCCTGAGCCACAGCCCCTCCGATGGGCGCCTTTCCTGCAGCCTCTGCCAAGCCAGGAGCGTGGAGAGTTTGTCACGGTTGTTCTGTTCTCTTTACAGACCAGAGATCTGTACAGTCGATAACTCAGGATTTCTAGCCAATAACCATATAGTTAACACCACCTTACGAATTCAGGGAAACAAAAATGCCAGGAACATCTTTAAATGTCTTGTCACACCAACAGCAAAGTGCACAGAGTGAGGAGAACACGAGAGTGCCTTTGCATTTTAAAAATGTTTGGAAATATCTACAACTTTGATACAGTTTCAGGGTGCTCCGGACACCCATGGCCACTTCACGTAAACCACTGACAGTTTCTAGGGCACTTTGAGAGACAATGTGATCGAATGCTGCAATTAACCCTAATGAAGGCAATAGACACGCCTCCAATGAGAGGTGTGATTACGGCGCTCCCCTCGCTAAGGGGTTCACGAGGAGACAGAGCAATGGTTTGTTTTTATTCATCCTCCTCTTCCTCCTCTTCCTCTTCCTCCTCCTCATCGTCTTCATCTTCCTCCTTCGCCTTTTTCTGGGCAACTTGGGCAGGACCCTTTGCGCCGTCAAACTTGTCTTTAGACTTATAGTCAGCATCTTCCTTCTCGTACTTCTCCTTCAGCT